CCAGACCATTGCAACCACTTCAGAAGTGACTCAGTGAATGGAAGATATTTCTATCTGTCTACTCTAAATCTGCTTTTCCAATAAAAAGTAAAACAAAGTTTAAACAAGCTATCTCATGTTAGTCTAGCATTCCTGCATAGTAAGTTAGGCTTCTTCCTATAGTTTCCCACATGTGTAATGGCTCAGTTGGTAGGTGCTTTGCTTCCAATCCAACTCCCTATCATTGTGGCTGGGAACAAAGCCAAACACAGTCCAACGTTTAGGGTTATGCCACGCAATGTAAGAGACCCAGATAGAATAGTTTGCTGGCCATTTGAGGCATAAACAAGACTGTAGGTCTCTGTGGTCACCTCCTTTATCTCTGCCTTGAAGATAAATGAATGAACTTCTATGGCATCTGAAAACAATTTGCTGAGTCCTACTGCACAGAAACATCTTAGCACTGAACTGGAAAAAGTAAAACTACTCACCACTTTTGACCCAAAGCATACAGCAATACAAAATTTGAAACAAATGGGAGGGGTAGGAATTAGAATCATTTTCCTCAATAGGCAAGCAGGATTTCTATACAGAAACAAGCTCAGCATTTTGCAATTTGAATTTTTTTTTGTTTTGTTTGGGGAAAGTAGCAGGGCTGTACTTACCCAGAGAGTCTCTCTGTGGTCCTCTGACTGCTTCCTGTACAAGTAAGGAGATGAAGTCAGCTCAAGGCAACCCGGCTGGTGGTGGGGACTTTCAGAAGTCTCTGGAGCTACTCCTAAAGCCAGCCTGTCAGCTGTGGAGAACTGTGAGCCTACCTCCTTGTGGTCTTTATATAGAGCCATTTAACCACACCCACACTGTCCTATTGGGTGTAATTCCAGTTAGAAAGAATGAAGAGATTGCCCTGAAATCATGCAGGAGGACTGGCTTAACAGCCTCCCTGTTTTGCTTAAGCTCATCCCATCAACTGATATTCACTTCACATTACACTTCAAAATGTTAAGTGTTTATCTGAATTTTTAAACTGCTAGAAAGTCTTATAAAATTACAGAAAAGGGGTTGCTATATGCTATACTTATGAAAGAATGAGAAGAGTTGTAACACTTCAGGCTAAATTGGTTTAATTCTCTTATGTAATGTGCATAATGGTCACTTATTGATTTATTTCTCCAAGGAGAAGAGAAATCACCCTCTATTTCCAAGACGAAATGACATTTTGACCCCGATACTAGAGAGATTTAGAAACTTAAATGTCTCTCTTTTTGACATTTACTCATGCACTTATGTATATTTATATTATTTATTTATATTACATTTGGTTATTTAAATTTTAAAAAATATATGATTATTTCAAATTCTGAATTATGTGGTACAGTTTTGTATAGGCTGAGACTCACCCCCTCAAGCTCAACCCCGTACAGGTTTTCCCCATTTTACTGCAATATTGTAGTCCTTCATAAACAATCATAATTCTATTAATCTCTCATTTAAATGTACCCTGACATTGTTGGTACAGACAATGTCAGGCAGTACAGCATCCCAATATCTACCCTTCTGCCCCATGTGAAAATCGTTCTATCACCACAGTCTCTCTTCTTTGCATGAAAAGGATGCCATCCTGGTAGGTGGAGGAGAAACATAGTAGACAGGATTAAGCTGTCAGGGTGAGGCATCTGGGATTGATTCATGCTGGCTTTCTGCAGAGACTGTCCTTGACCTGCTACTCTGCATTCTGTCTGGTGATAGGATTGCTCACCTGCACCTGACCCACCCACCAATTACCAGTCATCAGAAATAGAAAATCGGGTCAACCCATCTCCTTAAATCCTTGAGCTACAGATTCATGGAACTAAAGCACAGAAAGATGCTGTTGGGTCTCTGTCACATCAAGTATCCCCAGATGCATCATTATCATCACCTAGGTTAGGATTATTTTAGTCATGGATATACACAAATTTGTGGTTGGAAGAAAGGAATTCACAGAATTTTCCTGTACATAATCTACTGTGTAGTTCAATTCTATGACAAATATATCTTCTTAAAGTCATTTGTTTATGAAGTTCAGTATAGGAAATTCAGTTTATTTCCAACGGCGTGGCCTAGTGGCCAAAGTCCTCCTGAATGCGCCGAGATCCCATGTGGGCACTGGTTCTAATCCCGGCAGCTCCACTTTCCATCCAGCTTCCTGCTTGTGACCTGGGAAAGCAAATGAGGATGGCCCAAAGCTGTGGGACCCTGCACCCGCGTGGGAAACAAGGAAGAGGATCCAGGTTACCAGCTTCGGACTGGCACAGAACGGGCCCATGTGCTCACTTGGGGAGTGAATCATTGGATGGAGGATCTTCCTCTCTGGCTTTCCACCTCTATGTATATCTGACCTTGTAGTAAAAAAAAAAAAAAAAAAAAGAGAAAGAAAGAAAGAAAGAAAGGGAGAAAGAAAGAAAGAAAGGGAGAAAGAAAGAAAGAAGGAAAGGAAGAAAGAAAGAAAGAAAAAGAAAGAAAGAAAGAAAGAAAGAAAGAAAGAAAGAAAGAAAGAAAGAAAGAAAGAAAGAAAGAAAGAAAGAAAGACAGACATTCAGATTAATCCAATTGCTGTCAATGACATCTTCTGGAAGGGTGTTAACAACCCCTCCCTTAAGCCAATTCTCAACCTGTCTATTGTGGCCCCCTGGGGAGTCAACTAGTAGACAGCAGATGTTTGCAGATTTCTCTTTTTCTGTGTAGATCGAAAAATGTTTTTTAAAAATTAGCCTATTCAAAAAAAAAAAGCTTGATTTAATCCCGCCCAACTTCCAGCTGAACCTCCAGCTGAGCAGCATGCAGGGACTCAAAATAGAATAGCTTGGGTTCTGCTCAGTCTTTTGGATACCAGAGCAGTTAATGGTGGCCAAGCTTCAGCCTTCCCCAACTCTGGCTGAGAAAGCCATGGGAGGAATTGAATTTCACTACGTCTAGTTGTCTTACTTTTACTCAGACATTTTTAACTCTGTTTTAAATGCAATGTACACAGAAAATAAATTGCACAAAAACACCAAATCAAATTGTGTTAAAGCAGTATCATTTTATTCAAGTGCCAAGTCATGCAGATAGAAGGGACAAGAAAGGATAGAGATTTGAAATTGGCTGGTCAGCACTTTTCTCAGTGGGAATATAACGGGGATGAATCCCATGTCCCTGGATGTTAAAGCAATCACTCCAATTGATCTCTCAATGTAATATATACAGCAAGGGAAAACAGGAGAGGCATAAAGTTGGTGCAGTGAAAGACAGCAAAACTGGTACCTGGAAAAGCAGCAAGAGATAGAAAAGCATAAGTTACATAAAAAGTGATCACTGAATCCACAACTAATGTTATGAACTAAAAACACAATTAATGGTAACCACATCAACCCGGGCAATCTGGTTGAGAACTGGATGCAATGTGGAGCAAGATGACCTAGCAAGCTCTGAGCAATATGGCAGAGACAATATCAATCCTTATCATTTCTTCATTAGGAAAGAATTATTTCATTAATTTGCAAGGCTGAGTGGCACACAGAAAGGAATTCACAGAGAGAGAGAGAGAGAAATTTTCCATGTGGTGTCACTTATCAAATGACCTGAAGAGTTAGGGCATAGGTCAGGCTGAAACCAGGATTCTGGCAATCCACTCAGATTTCCAACCTGGGTACCAAGGACTGCATTGGTTGGATCCTTGTCTATTGCTTTTCCAGATGTACCCTTTTCAGATCTCAGTGAAAAGTTCCTCTGGAAACACTGTAGCAGCTCTACAACCCCATTTTTCCCAACAAACCTAATTTACATGTGTCCATCAGTGAGCCCAACCCATGTTTACTGTACCTTCTAATTCCAATCACCTGTTCAAACTTGTCTCTGTAATCCCATCATGCACTTGTGATTTCTGCTGACATCAGAGGCTCCCATGATTGGATGGGTGTGGCTTAAGGCAGGTGAACCGTATAAAAGCAGACTTTCCCAGGGCCTTCTCAGCCAACAGCCACTGTCATCACAGGCAGCAGCCCGGCATCACAGACCTGAAGGAGACTGTGATCATTGGCCATCGTGAGCAAAGCTGAAGCTCCCAGAGGTGGGACCACTGATAGCAGACACAGGTGAGCATGGAATTTAGGGGAAGGCCCTCCTGCACGTTTTGTCTTATAAGCCTATTTTAAGCTTAGCGGTAAGTTCATACTGGTCTCATTTGAGCAAACAAGTGGCATTCCCACTTGATTAAAATAATAGCCAGGCTTATGTATTGGGACAATTTGCTGAATCTCTGTCTGCAGGTGCCATGGTCCCATGTGGGTGCAGATATTGTGGTGCTTGTGATCTAGTTCTGTGCTGCTCCCTGCTTATGCTTAGGAGACAGGTGGAGGATGGCCTGGTGCCTATGTGGTCCATAGCATCCTTGTAGTTTCCAGAAGACCTCTGCTCCTGGCTTCAGATTGACATGGCCTCTACCTTGTTGCTCAAGGAAATTTTTTTTTAATTTTATTTGGTTAAGATTTATTTATTTTTATTGCAAAGTCATATATATGTGATCTTGCTAAGCAGATGAAATTGCTAGAGCTGAGGCAGTCAGAAGCCAAGAGGCCTGAGCCTTTTCCGAGTCTCCCATACATTTGCAGGGATCAAGACTTGGGTTATCCCCAAATGCTTTTCCAAGCCACAGGCAGAGAACAGGTTGGGAAGCAGGGACACCTGGATTAGAGCAGGTGACAATATGGTATCCCGAGTGGTTCAAGGAGAGGACTTTAGACAATAGGACTCCTTGCTGGCTCTCCTAAGGAAATTTGTAACATACTTGAAACAAAACTGATACTTGCCTTAATTGCTTATCTATTGGTTGATAGACACACCTTGTCTGTGCTTCTTAAATCGAGCTTTGTATAGGGCTGACTTAATAATGAGGATACCCAGAGCCCAAGCAGGACAGAGCTGCACACTCATTTTTGCTTTGTTGTCTCAGTAGAGAATTAACATATTTTTCTCCATTTTTACAGTGCTTTCAGAGAACCATGGATTCATTCATGTTGCAAGAGTTCCAGAGCAATGTCACATGCAGCATTTGCTGCCAGTATTTCCTGGATCCTGTCACAATGGAGTGTGGCCACAGCTTTTGCCGACCCTGCATCTACTTGAGCTGGGAAGAAGGCTCATCGCCACTCTGCTGCCCAGAGTGTAGGCAGAAGTCAGAGAAGACAAACTTCAAAACCAACATAAGACTTCAGAAACTGGCCACTGCTGCCAGGATGGACAGAATGAGGCAGGTCCCCAGCTCACATGGGCAGGTCTGTGGTGCACACAGCGACGCCACAGGACTACTGGGTGACTTGGACGAGAACCTATGCTGTGAGTCTGCCTCTGAATCTTCCAAAGCCAACGGACATGGCCACAGCCAGCTGCAGTTTGCTGCTGAGGAATCCAGGGTGAGTGATATCTGAACAGCTGGGTAGGATCTCAGAGACCTCAAGTTGGAGAGAAAGATGTGGACTTAGGCTCATGGGTAGGTGAGAAAGACATTGTAGAGGTGGTCTCTTCACTATATATCCCAAGAGGCTAATATGTCCTTCAATGCTGTGCTGAGGTTGGTCAATTCTCAGAGGTGGGCTGATGTATCTTGAAGAAGAGCCAACTTGGAAACAGTGTCCATGTACTCTCATTCAGTGTTGATACAGGCAGTGGTCTGCAGCAGTGCCTGCTTCACAACCAAGTCACATACAAACAACCATTGTAATCTTCTGTAATGTCCGGTGTTCTAGAAATCAGATGCAAAATTGGTCATGGTGTGACAATATGAAGACTTATTCTATTTGAGATCAGTAACAAAACAATAAAAAGGAAAGGGAAGGGACAGAAAGGGACGGAAAGGCAAGGCAAGGCAAGGAAAGGGAAATGAAGAAAATGCCCGAGCCTCTGCCAAGTCCCATACACCAGGGAGGGGAAATAGACACGACCTCACCTCATTATTTCTTTACCCTGAAATTATTTTACAGGGAACACTTGTGAAGGAAATGAATGTTTTATGGGAACTGATGCAGGAAATGAAAACCCATGTGCCCAAGCAAATAAGAAAGAAGCATTCATTTATGGTAAGAATGAAAAGATTGGATACAATGAACATAACACCTTACACCCTTGAGCAATTTCCACTTCCTCTTCAAGGAAAGTGGTTTCCATACCCAAAGTAGAGTGTTCCAATGATAACTCTCTCACTAGCTGAAAGAGCTGGTGAGAAGGATACTAGAAGAAATCATCATCCCAGCTATTCCTGGTCCAACTTAGAAGTGTTACACAAATCTTCTCAGACACACAAATACTAAAATACCAAAAGAGAAATAAATAAATAGTACCAGTGTGGAAAATAGAATAATTGCACAAATATCTGTGTACTGCGTAATGTGTTGGCAACGCCTGCATTGCCATGTACCCCAAGCCGAGCGGAGGGACTAGGGTTATGAGACAGACAAGACAGACAACACACACAACACACAGAGGCTCATTCTTGTGAAGTGAAGCCTTTATTCAAAGTCGAACTCTCTTATATAGTCTGCTTGGCCCCTCCCAGGATCTTCCCAATGGTTAAGCAACACCTAAGCTCCCCCAAGGACATGCAAAAAGGGGAAGCAGGAAGGAGGGAAATTGTAGTCAGACCAGGGGGCTAAATGTATCAGGCCATGATTGCCCTTACTGTTACACCTTTGAGAAACAGCTGAGCTGTGGAGTTAACCCTTGGGAGACCGGGGCCTACAGTAATGTGTATGCATTGAAGAGACAAAAACAGACATAAAGGCCAGGAAGCAAAAGGCATAAAAATGAATAGAATTAGCGCTGTAATTAGAACATTGAAGAAGAAGAGGGAGAGAGAAGAGATGGAAAGTGAGACAGATATCTAGAGAGAGATCCTGAGTTCCTTCTAGAGTATATTTGAAGAGAAAAGACTAGAAGTGTGCAGAGGCATTCGTAGCACCCCACAACACCTAAGAAATGGTGTACTAACTCAGCATAAAATTGGTAAAGTATTCCTTGTGAGTTTTTCAGTATTTAAAGAGACGTGTGACAGAGAGGGAGAAATAGAAGCAGATATGTTCCATGTGCTGTTTCTCTTCCCAAGTGGCAGGAAGAGCCATGGCAATGTTAGGCTGAATGAAGCAGCCTGGCCCCGCACCTGCGGCCCTCATGTGAGCCATCAAAGGCACAAACCCTTAGGCCATCCATGCTGCCTTAGCACATTAGAATGAGCAAGAGGTGAAGCAGAGAGGCTGCAGCAGGTGCTCCTAGGGAAGGTAGGGTCAACTCAGCTAATGATATGAGATGTTTCAAACTCCTGTTAAGTGTGAAGCTATGCAATTCTCATAAGCTAATATCTCTCTACAGGAGTATGTGTCCCTAAGGGAGGAGATGATCAAGGCACAGTATCAGAAGATGCATATGCTTCTTCATGAGGAAGAAGAGCTGCACCTGCAGAGACTGCACAGCGAAGCACGGCAGCTTTTGAAGCAGCTCCAGGAGAGTAAATCGAAAATGATCCAACACATAGATTGCGTGAAAGAAAAATACAAAGAGCTGGTTGAAATGTGCCACAAGCCTGACACGGAGTTACTGCAGGTGAGCAGGGAAAGGGCCACGTTCAGAGACATGTGCGCGTGTCTGAGCAGGTGGTCAGGACACTAAAATGTTAACTGCACCTATAGCTACTCTCAGCTGCATGACACGTGTAATGACTCAAAGATTTGATTGCCCGAACACGTAAGTCTGCATGGGCAGAAAATCTTTTCTGCATCTTTGCCCTAATATATCGGATAAAATTCTCTACTTTGTAATCAAAAGTGCTGCTCCCAGAAAAATGTTATCCAGAAACGTAATTATGACAGTGTTACATGTTTCTTATCCATTCTGAAAATCAGCAAGCTTCCTGTGTTGAGCAGGATCAGCCATCGAAACGTGAAAGGATTAGGAACATTTTTCTCTAAGGAAACTGCAGCCAGGATGCAAGAATATACTGATACTGAAAAGACTAATTTGAATGACCCTGGACAATGCTATAAATTTGTAATTGGTTATGTAGGAAAGTATTCCACAGCCTGCCTTTTAGAACACTCTGATCTTTAATCTAAAAGCAATTGGCTGAAGAACTTGGAGGCTTTGCCCTTTGCTTGGGCCAGGATCAGTCACCCACTGCAATGCACTCTGCTTTTCAGACAGCTCTCTTCTCTGCTTAGCACTGTAGTCAGAAGTGCTCAGCTGTCCCTAGGGATGATAGCTGGGACTTGACCTTCAGCCTACATCCTGTGGCATCTCTTCACAGCTTCATGTTGAGGTCCACCTATTTTGGGCTCACACTGGAATTCCTTCATGAGGTAGTTCAGATTTTGTAACTTACAGATGTTGATAATTCCTAGTATATTAAGCAAACCACACTCACAAAAATGATGAGTTTTCCACAAAAGTTCAATGAAAAAGTTCTCAAAATTAACTGCTTTTTTTCCCTTGCAGAATGTGAAGACAGAATTGGAAAGGTGAGTGTAGAGCAACCATCTCTGATGGGTGAGAAATTGTGGCCCTGATGATGAGTCAGGTGTTTGTAATTTGCTCTTTTAACACAGTTCTGTCAGTCTGTGTCCCCATTTAGTTGAGCAGGGGTTCTCAGCACTTTTCTCCTTGGTTTAAGTAAGTTTAGAAGTGGCTGACTTCAAATGTGGGAATGTATGCTTCTGCTTTCTGGAGTCTGCTTCACCCTGTCTGTCCTCTCTGCGCCTTCTGCTACTTCAGTATTTCAACAAACCAAGTGGTGGGAAAGTAATATGAGCACAGGAAAGAGGAGGATTCCTCAGGCTGGGAAGAGAAGGGAGGCTTTGCTCTTGGAAGTAGCAGTGAGCAGGCCTTGCTCTCTCCTAGAATTTCCCATTTTCAGAGCAGGATCAGGGGGATCCTCTGACTCAGCTTCCCCAGGACCAAGGCTACCAGGCTGGAATTTCTTTTCTTGGTGTGGCAAATAAGCCTCAAGCCTCCTGGCTTGGAGGATGTTACATTGATGCACTTTTGGGGGATGACTGCTGGTAGATTGCCCATAATTATTGCCTGTGATTTTGGCTCTGTAAGATTTCCAGAACTCAGTGGCCGGAGCTGTAGGCTGGTTGCTAAAGTCTTTGCCTTGAACGCATGGGGATCCCATAGAGGTGCTGGATGTAATTCCGGAGGCTCCACTACCTAGGCAGCTTTCTACTTGTGACCTGGGAAGTCATTCAAGGACAGCCCAAAACCTTTGGCCCTTGCACCCATGTGGGAAACCTGGAGGAAGTTCCTGTCTCCTGGCTTGGCATAGTTGCAGCACCAGGCATTGCAGCCACTTGGAGAATCAAATAGCGGAAGGAAAATCTTCCTCTTTGTCTCTCCTCCTCTCTGTACATTTGGCTTTGTAAAAAAAAAAAAAAATCATTAAAAAAAAGAAAAGATTGCCAGAACACAGAACTCTACTTTCCATGAAATAGGGGATACTGGTAGAATCTGCATGGTGGCCAATATTTCAGGGATACAAACACCTCAGAAGATGAGGCAAATTGATGTGATGTGATAATCAGAACGATTAACCATTTATCACAATGAAGTCGTGAGTGAAATTTATCTTCAAAAACCTGCTAAATTAAGACCCTCAAGCAACATTGCTTGTGTACACTGTAGAAGTCTTTGTGACTGCGTGATTGCCCTTGCCTGAAGTGTCATGTGTTGTTCCTCACAGAGCAGAGCTCATACGGAGATACAGGCCCCAGCCAGTGGACCCTGTACTGACTTCTTGGAGCATCAGTGGACTTCAACAGATGCTGAATAATTTCAGAGGTAAGCATCAGCCTGCATCAGTCTAGGTCTCATTGCCTTCTTCAGAGAGTGGGACATGAGCCCTTTCCCATATTAGTCCATGTTGCACACCTGGAAACACAATAGGGTTTACTAAAATGTTATCTTTGCCCTTTGCTGAATCACTTTACTACAGTGATCCAAACTGAGCTTTGTAATGAAGCTTTTCATCAGGCATAAGATCTTGGGTTCAGCGGCAGGGAGCTGGATTGCAAGTGCATCTGACTGGAAACAAATCGGTCCCATGAGGGATATCAGCATCCCATAGTCAATATTTTGATCTTCGTTTTCACTGTAATTTAAATGATTTTTTAGGCAATAAAGTCCACAATCTTGATAGCATGACAGCAACCTGAACATGTACCTTGTCTTTTTTGTCCGTATTCTGTTTCTTGCTTGGAGGACACCTGATGAGATTCTATGCACAGAAAGAGAGAAAGAAAAAAGAAAAATCTGATTCTAGAACATGGGTATGGTAATTCAGTGACTAGTTTTTGTTTGCTTCTTTTTTTGCAGTGTCTAATGGTTTGAAACAGAATGTGGCGAGTCGCTACTTACACCTTTCTGAGGATCTCAGATATCACATATTTGGAGAACACCGTGATGCTCCCAGTCAAGGCCCAAGAGCACAGAGTTTTGTTGCATGGGGTGCACCGACCTTCCGCTCTGGCAAGCATTACTTCGAGGTGGATGTATCGCACTCCTCCAACTGGATTCTAGGACTCTGTAGTGATTCCAGCATAGATGAGCCCGATACCATTATTAACACAGATGGTGCATTTTTCCTTTATTCCATGAATTGTGATGATGGTCACATCTTCTGCACCAGTAATCCAAGAGTACATCACTATGTGGAGAGGCCTGTGGGTCTGGTTGGGGTGTTTCTTGATTGTGAATATGGAATGGTGAGCTTCTATGATGTTTCCCAAAGCTCCCTCATACATTGTTTCCCTCCAAACTCCTTCTCCTACCCTCTGAAGCCCTTCCTTTGCATGGGCACTCCATAAATTGTAAAATTCTGGAATTGTTTTGGTTAACTGTCAGGGTGGATAATCTAACAATGTTAAAATGTTTCTCATGGGAGACATCACAGTCTTTGTATGCCTTGTACCTAAGGGAGGGTAGATTAATTATGTTGCTAAGTTGCTAAATTGGACAACCACATTGAATGTATGAAACTTTATATCAAATTTAACTTTAATAAAGAATATTATAACCAATGCTTGTCTGACTCTAGTACCTGTTCAGCATCCCTATAGGAATCCAACACCCATTGATGAGTCAACAATTCTTAAAGGTCTCATGTACAGGTGCTTGTTGTCAAGAAATTGAGCCATTGTCCAATGTTTTGCTAGACCTTTTCAATAAAAATAAGTAAAACCGAAAATATAAAAAACAATCTGCATTTGGTCAGAAGTGCATTCTCACGGCAGAGTCACAAGGAGCACTTAGTGACTCTTAATTCCTGTTTGAGAGAAACTGAGAGGAATGATTGGTGCTACCTGCAAACATGGAAGTGTGCATGTATGTGAGACTTGTGGTAATAGTCCAGTTGAAATTCATGTGAAAAACCAAGAGAGGAGAATATGCTATATATAAGTATACGTGTTTTGGATAAAGAACTTAAGAAAAGAATGGAATAAAAAGGAATGTGTGGAATATAAGACCCTCTTATACTCTTTACAAGAAGACAAGAAGGAACAAGTTCTCCTTTTTTATTTTTTGAAGATATCTTTACTATTTTTGCAAGTTTGTATATACAAAGAGAAGGAGAGAAAAGAAGAAGATCTTCCATCCAATGACTCACTCCCCATGTGGTCTCAACAGCCTGACATGAGCCTAACTGAGGCCAGGAGCCAGGAGCCTCCCCGGTTCTGCCTCGCAGGTGCAGGTCCCAAGCTTTGGGCTGTCCTTGACTGCTTTCTCAGACCACATGCAGGGAGCTGCATGGGAAGAGGGGCCACCAGGATCAGAACCAGTGCCATATTGGATCCTGGTGCAGGCAATATGAGGACTTCAGTCACTAGCTTTCCGTGCCTTCTCCTTCTTTCTCACACACACATTTTCATATATACAGAAAAACAGTGATTCTTTTGTTTTACTACAAAAGGTAGCTAATGGAAGAAATCATTGTATTTCACACAGCATATACATTTTTTGTTTAACTGAAAAGACACATTAACAGAAAAAAGGAGAGAGAGAAAGATATTAAATTAGCTGGTTCATGCATAAGCGGCCACATCAACCAGAGATGAGCTGATTCGTAGACTGGATTTCTTGTGCATCTCTCACGTGGATGCAGGTTCTGAAGGTTTTGGGCCATCCTCCATACTTTCACAGTCGAAAAGCAGGAAACTGGATAGGAAGTGGAATAGCTAGGACACAAAGAGGCATCCATATGTGATCATGGTGTGTGCAAGGCAAGGATTTAGACATTGAGTCATGGCACTGAGCCCGGATACAGAATTTATGATGGTCTGGGTCTGAGTGAAGGAAGAAAAGCTGCTAGTTGTCAGGCAGCACTCAGCTCCCTAAAGGCTGATACATGAGTGGGAGACACATTGATATACTGAAAGCAAGACCTCAGATTTTGTTCAAGCTATGATGTTAGTTGGATTTGCTATCAGATTTCTTTGCCACTGATTTTCTATACTACAACAAAACAACAGCCACAACAAAACCAACAAAACACTGTAATCATTGCACTGGCATCCATTTTCCTTTCTATATTTTAATTATTTATTTTATTTCAACTGTCAATTTACAGAATTAAGCAGAGAGGGAGTGATCTTCTATCCACATGTTCACTCCACAAATGGCACCAATGGTCAGGCATGCACAGTATACCGGTGTCCAATGCTTTCAACCATTGTCAACTTCTTTCCCAGGACAAAAGCAGGATGCAGGATTCACAGTGTATAGGATGTGACAGGTATTAGAAGATGGAGTCCTTTCAGCCTGCTTTGTCTTTGGAGGAAAATGGGAAAAGTTTCAGAAGATTTGGGCTCCCATGCTTACCAGGGCTATCTTCCTATGGGGAACCAATGCTTCTGATTCTGTCAAAATTATTTCCCTGGCATTCTTAAGGGATTCTCAGGTAATTACTCTGACCATCTGTAAAATGCTTTGGCCCCAATGGAGGCATGCTTTGAAAAGTGGCAGGAATCCTTGATTCAGAGAGTGAATAGATTCAGAAAGGGAGGCATCAGGGTGTGACTCATAGTATCAAGGGAAAGGCAATGGGGTCCTAAAAGTAAATACACACCTACATTCAGACACTTTTTCTCAACTTCTTTGAAAATAAGGCTCCTGGAACAGAGTCTACACAGAAGTGTGCAATGAATGTTAATGCAGAGACAATGGCAGAGCAAGGATGCCAGGGCTGTAACACTTTATCCCAAATCCAAAGACATTCTTAAAACTCAAGGGGAAGAATGTGAAAGACCAGCCTGGAATTTGAATCCTGTTGACGTCACAAAGCTCCAGGACACAGGCCTAGTTTTTACAAGATTGTTGGCCTTGACGTCTCCCATTCCCTCATTTGGGAATGATCTTGTCCCTGAGTGGGGGTTGGTTCTAGTTCAGTTTTGATCCAGCTTCCTGCTTCTGGGCAATGCTTATGGACTGTGACAGCAGTGGAAGAGACCTGGATTCCTTCAGCACCTGCACACTCGTGGGAGACCAGAAAGAAGCTCCTGGCTCCTCAACTGGGATTAGCTCAGCTTCACTGCGTGTGGTCATTATGGGAGTTCACCAGTAGATGGAAGATCCCTCAACTGCTTTCTCCTTCTTTCTCTCTCTCATTTTCTCTTTGTCTTTCTTGCTCTCTGTAAAATCTGTATTTAAAACATAAGATAAAAAATAGACAAATAAACACATAAGTAAATTTTTAGAGAAGAGTCTGGTTTCTTACTCAATGTAGTTGAGGGGTATGAGTTTGTTTTGTTTTGAAAGTAGACGGTATTGTCACTTCTCCGTAAAAAAATGAACCAATAATGACCATTATCCACATGACAGAACAGAGTTATATTCAATCTTAGGCCTAAGTGTTTCAAGTTTTTGATTCCTTCATGAGGATTATAACTGAATGGTAACTTCTTTCTAGTAATTTTTTTTGAAAGTCAGATATACACAGAAGAGAAGAGACAGGTAGGAAGATAATTGTCCACTGATACTGTATACAGTGGCTGCACTAGCCAGAACTCAGCCAATCCAAAGGCAAGATGCGAGATGAAGACATGGAAGCTTTACCAGACAAGGAATTTAAAAAATGAATGAGGGCCCGGCGCGGTGGCGCAAGTGGTTAAGGTCCTTGCCTTGCACGCCCAGGATCCCATATGGGCGCCGGTTCTAATCCCAGTGGCCCCGCTTCCCTTCCAGCTCCCTGCCTGTGGCCCGGGAAAGCAGTCCAGGATGGCCCAAAGCTTTGGGACCCTGCATCCGCGTGGGAGACCCGGAAGAGGCTCCTGGCTTCGGATTGGCATAGCATCGGCCCGTTGCGCTCCCTTGGGGAGTGAATCATCGGACGGAAGATCTTCCTCTCTGTCTCTCCTCTCTGTATATCCACCTTTCCAATAAAAAAATAATAAAAATAAATCTTTAAAAAAAATGAATGATAAAATTCATAAGAGACAATGAGAAGAAGTGGAAAGAATTCAAGGAATTCAAGAACCACATAGTCACAGAAATACAACAAGTCAAAAACAAAATTCTGGACCTGGAAATCAAGGTTGAGAGTATGACCGGCAGAATAAATACAGCAGAGGAAAGGATCTCTGAAACGAAAGATACAAAAAATGAAGATACCCAGCTCATTAAACAGCTGGAGACAAGTCTCAACAAAGCTAATAAAATGATACAAGAAATGAAAAATCACCTTAGAAAATCGAATATTCAGATCATGGGCCTTCCCGAAGGAGTGGAAAGAGAATCAGGAATGCAAATGGTGCTCGACGAAATTATACAAGAAAACTTCCAAAACACTTGGAACATGAATCCAGCCCACATACAGGACAGACAGAGAACTCCCAACAGACACGATCCAAAGAGATCTTCACCCAGACACATGGTGCTCAAGTTCTACTCCAACGAAGACAAAGAAAGAATCCCGAGACAAGTACGAAACAGAGAAAAGATCACATACAGGGGAAAACCAATCAGAATCACTGCTTACTTCTCTGAAGAGACCTTACAAGCAAGGAGAAAATGGACAAAGATCTTCCAAATCCTGAAACAAAACAACTGTCAACCAAGAATAATGTACCCAGCAACGATCTCATTTGTATATGAGAACGAAATCAGATACTTTCATAGCAAAGAAAAACTAGAAGAATATGCCAACACAAAACCAGCTCTACAAAATCTCCTTAGAAATGAGCTAATTCCAGAAAAAAAGGAGGCAAACCATAAACAAAGATGGCAAACAGGAAGGTCTCCAAAGTAAAGCCTACACAAGGAAGGGCAATTACACAGATAACACACACAAAACACACTCGCATGGCAGGGCAAAATCACAACCTCTCAATTTTAACTTTTAGCACAAATGGTCTAAACTCACCAATCAAAAGACACAGATTAATGGAATGGATCATCAAATAAGACCCAACTATCTGTTGCCTACAAGAAACACATCTAGCCAGAAAAGACGCAAAGAAGCTGAAACTGAAGCGATGGAAAAAGATATTTCATACCAATGGATGAGAAAAAAAAGGCTGGTGTAGCTGTCCTAATTTCAGACGAGATAGACTTCAATGTAACTAACATCAAAAGGGACAGGGAAGGCCATTTTATATTGGTGAAAGGAATGATCCATCAAGAAGCAATCACCGGGCCCGGCGCGGTGGTGCAGTGGTTAAGGTCCTCCCCTTGCACACCCAGGATCCCATATGGGCGCCGGTTCTATCCCCAGCAGCCCCGCTTCCCTTCCAGCTCCCTGCCTGTGGCCCGGGAAAGCAGTCCAGGATGGCCCAAAGCTTTGGGACCCTGCACCCACGTGGGAGACCCGGAA